TCCCCACACGAAGAGCTGCCAAATATTCCCAGTTTGGATGGGGCTTTAAAAGATCCCAAAAATATCAGGTGCCCAAAGCACTGGCTTTGTGTTGTTGCACGCAATGGCTTTGCCTCAGGAGGAGACCAATGCAAAAAGGGTAACGCAGCTTGCCTGGGCCAGAAGGTGGCCACTGAAAAATGGCCCTGGCCATCAAACAGCCACTGCTGCACGAGCTGCTCCTCACCAGCTGGGTTAAACCTGCTTCTCTTCTTTCCATGCTGATGTGAAATCTCAGAGCTTGCAAATATTTCCCTGGCCCAGCCAGCATTTCAGAAACACTGCCCAGTGGCAACCAGCAAAGGCGGGTGCAGTTAGTTGGTGTTCTACCGACAGCTTGACAAAAGGCCTTTGCTGCAGAATTAATTTCAACCCTCGTGCTGGGCTGCCGATGCATTTAGGAAAAGTGGAACTATAAGGAAAAGGTGAGAGGGAACACAGAGAGACAGAGGCCCTGCAAAGGAGGAAAAACACTGGGTGGGGAGAATCCAAATGCTCAAAGCTGTGAGAGAAGGAAACTGTCCAAAATGCTAGGTGCAGAGCAACAGCCACGCAGACCTGGGGAGCTCAGTCCCCACTGGGGACATGGCTGGCAGTCTGGGATCTCATTGCTTTCATTCCATATACAAAGTCATCATTTTAAATGTTCTCACAGCATGCTCCCACAGCTTTGCAGCTTTAAAGCCACCTGCTTGCCAGCTCATTGAGCCTCCCGGGGGCTTCAGGCTTGCAGGGTGCACACGGCATGGCTGGGGCAGCGGTGAGGGCAGGATGAGTTACATGGAAGAAGCCAAGAGCATCGTGCAGCAGTCACTGGGATCAGAGAGAAGGGAAGGGTGGATGGGAGAGGAGTGGGTGGACATCAACTGGAGCCAAACTGGCAACGTATCAATGGGTGGAGGCCACGCTACAGTGGAAGAAAACCATCAGATGGAAGGAGGTGCACCCACCACCACCTCATCCAGCTCTACAAACAGGCCAGGTCCTCATCCTCAGCAAAAAGCATCCTTCAAGCACATAAACTAAAAGCAATAAGATGGATCTGAACTCATCTCAAATACCACTGCTGCTGATGGGTTACTTGCACATGGCTGAAAGCCAGGGATTTCTCTGGGACTGCCTGGAGATGGAGCACCTGCACCCCATCTGCTGCCCGTCCCCCTGGCTCTTCAAACACTGCTCCATGCCAGGGAACGTCGCAGAGCATCACCTGCACCCTCTGCCACCAGCACCCAGTGCCAGGGAGAGACAGAAGCTCAGCTGTAAATGGGGGACAGCCAAAGTCCCCAGGCACTTCCCCAGGCTGTCTGAGCGCCCTTTTCCAGCCAGAACGGGAGCCTGCAGCCCAAGAGGGCAACTGTTGATCTGCACTGATGTACAAAACTAGATCTGGATCCCCTTCAAAGCTGCAGTCAGGCTTTAGGAAGCAACAGAATATTTTCACATGGAGTAGTGTACGTGTAGCAATTTCAGTACACCAGAATTGTTAATACTAACAAAAATAAAGATTACACATGGAAAAGACCATCTCCAATGTTGTATCAAAACAGTTCTGACCTGCAACACCAAAGCAACACCCCAAATCTATATTTATACAGTTTCAAAACCTGTATTTATTTGCTCTGCCCACAACGCCTCCAAGAAGGAGAGGAGGGGAGGCCAACGGCTCCCATTACCAGGCACGGGAATGTTTGCTAACTGTTAATCAATTAAGAAAGAGAGGAGGCAGAAGAATCCCAGCTCCTCCGCCCCGTCCCAGCAGCGCGGGTCCCCGGGGAGCTGTGGGTCCGGGGCTGGATGCTCCCAGCCCTGCGGCATCCTGCCCTGCAGCGGGAGCACCGACACTGCCGCCATTGTCAGCGCTGGACTCCAAGCCACCCGCGAGCCACCAGCAGAGCCTGGCTGAGCTTTTGAGGATCACTGTACGCTCGCCGGCCAGCCTGAGTCACCCCTGGGCTGCAAAGCCCAGTGTGGGCAGGCCAGAGGCTGTCAGCAAGCAGCTCTAAACTCAAGCAGCTCAAAACTCGAGCAGCACGGAGCCCAGAGGCTCCTCCAGCCGCCAGGCCAGGTGCCAGGCGCAGCAGATGCCAGTCGGCTCCCGCCACAGGAATGCGCTCACCGAGGCCTGGAAATCAAAACCATTAGGGGAAAGAACTTCCTTTTATTCCACATCTGTGCCTGCAGAAATGGAGCCGAGAAGCAGACGCCTTTTCCCTGGCAGCCCTGCCCCGCTGCCTCCCCAGCAGAACACAGCATCCACCAAAGCTCTGCGGCACCAGCAAGGCTGGCAGGAGCCCTTGCTGCATTTCCCCATCCTGCACCAGCACAGCGTGGGGGCAGCTGCACTGTGGCACCTTTGCAAGGACAGTACAGGTCTTACCCAAGCTTGGGCCTGACCTCTCTGGCCATAGCACCCTTATCTGTGCCGGGAGAAATTCCCTGGCCCCAAAAATCCACAGTCTCAGCCAGCAAACAGAGAAGAAAGTGAAATTTGTTCTCAGAGGAAAAAAGAATAGAGGATGGCTTGAGGTTTGTACAGCCTAACCTCTGCAAGGGGTCTTGTTCCAGAGACACGCGGGTAGGATGTAGTCATGGACGGAGTTTGCAAAGATCTCACATCTTTTAGGGCCAGTCCGACTCAGGCTAGCAGAGATTTCTGCATCAATGGTACAGTGATGGCCAGTATTTCTTTTGGGAGAAGATGGGAAAACCAAGTATCAAACATTAGCTGCAGTCAGGAGGGAAGCACAGATACACCACCAGCACCAGCATCCCACAGAAGCCGGCTGACTTTTAAAGCACACCTTCAGCTGCTCTTGCACAGCAGAGCTGGTGCACAACCTTCAGGAACTGCTGAACAAATGGGGTCAGGTTAAGACTAAGGCAGCTGAATCTGTTCAGAGAAGAATCTGTCAGTGGAAAGAAGACGATGATATTTTAGAGGGTTTTTTGTTTTTTTTTCCTTTTCCACTCTCATGCAGGTCTGAGGGCTCCTCTGTGCACCCCATTTTTCCCGACTCACAGATTCTGACAGAAGTGATGCTCCAGTGACCACAGCGCGTGCTTTGTGCCCAGTCCTTGCAGCAACACAAACAAAAGCACCTCTCACCTTTATTTCCAGCATGAGCCCGGCGGTCCCACAGCAGGGCATCTCTGGGGAGGCAGGAGGAATGGCTTCATGCTGAAGCCGTGGTGAGGCCCCAGCTGCTCTACAGCAGGGCGTTGCATGTCAACACAAACAAACATTGGAAGAGTGACATGGCCTGGTTTGCACTGAGGTCCCACATGACATCACCGTGTAGCCAATCCCATCTGCCTCGCAGGCTCATCAGAACCTACATTCACACCCCAGAAGCCCCCTCTCTCCCCCCAGATAAGTCATGCACTGAAAACGCCATTTAAACTGACAGCTGCTGCTCCGAGCTGAGGCTGCCAGGCCGTTTGCATAACACTGGAGCATGCTCAGTGGCGCTGGCTAATTCCTCACTGCAACAATGGAAAAACCCAGAAATCTCTGTGAATAAGCCAGTCTGTGTCCTAAGTCAGCCCTTGGATTTCCTCCCTTTCTTGAGACTGTCTCGCCTCTGCAAAAGCTCCACTGGGGCTCTGTATCCAGCTTCAGCAGCAGAAATCTCAACAAGCTCACAGTTATGTGCTCGGCTCTCCGCTGTTTGCTACAGCCAGGAACTGGCTGGAAATCAGTTCAAAATGTTCCACATCCAAACCCCACCCCGCAACTCCTGGATCTCTCCCTTCTCACTCCCCACAGCAGGCACTGGGGCTTTTAACTGCTTTGCTTTATCTGCAAGGAACATCCTGTCCATGTCACAACTCCCTGCAACTGCTGCTGCAAGACATGCACCAGCGCAGCCCCGCTCCTGCTCCAGCAGTCACTTCCTTGCTCTGCAGCTTCACCATCTCCTTTCCAGTGCCCATGGCTTTCCCTGTCCAGCTTCACCCCAAGAGCCTCAGGCATTGCCATCCACCTCACCTAAGCCAGGCGTGCAGTAAGAACCACCAGCAAGCACTTCTTCTCTTAGTATCACACCCACCAGTCTGTGCCTCACCACTTCCCTGCAGTCTCTGCCATTGCTCCATCCCCCAAAGGAAGGCAATGATCTCTGCTCCTCAGTGCCACGTGCTGAGAATTCCCTTCACACGTAGATCTCCTGACCACGACCAGCCCTGGATCCTCCACCTCCATAGAAAGATGCAGCAGAAATCACCAACGCCTTCGCTCCCCTTTCTTGGCCAATTCCTAGGTGCCATCTAGATCTGAAGGTCTTCAACTAAAATTCTGCACTGCAAAAGCAATTACAGTGCTGACCATCGGCATGACACCACAGCTCTCACACCTCCTCCAGTCCCTTCTCAAGCAAACTCCTTTGAAATCAACAAGATCCTCCAGAGCCTTTCCTCTGCCACAGCAGGAAAAAATGCATCTCCCCACAACGGCCCAGGCCAACATGCAGCCCAGGAACTGGCTGAAAGCTTTAGTGCAAGCTGGTTTGAAGGGCAGCAGTGCTCCTTGCTGTGCCATCCTAAGGCTTCCATTCAAGCAAAATAGGTTGCTTTTCACTGGTAAACCTGGGCCCTGCATGGCTCAGCAGGGATCAGAGATTTCTCACGGAGCAGGCTTGCATTTGTTCCTCTTGACCATTTGCCCCCCCGCTGCAGAGAGGAAAACTACCTCTGCGCAGGCACTTCTGCAGTGGAGCCCGGCAGGACAGAGGACATTCCTCTGCCTGGTGCCAAGGGGTTAAGCTCACAGTAAGTTCCCAAAGCCACTTGCTTCCAACTGGCTGCTGCCTGCGGTTTGTGGGAAGGGATTTTGCTTTTTAATAACATTATAAATAGGGCTGTGTTCAGCATGCTGCAAACCCAGTTACTCTCTCTCTCTTACCCATCTCCCTCCTCCTCCCGCTTCTTCTCTTCCCACCACACCGATTCCAGACCTGACCATGAATCGGTCAGGCTGCCTCCTCAGTGTCCTCAGCCTCCTGGCCTGCCTCATCTCCGTCGTGCAAGCGTGTCCCCCGAGCTGCCATTGCCACGGCGGGGACCTGCAGCACGTCATCTGTGACAATGCTGGGTTGAAGAAGATCCCCAAGGTGCCTGAGCAAACACGGCTTCTCAACCTGCAGAAGAACAATTTCCCTGTCCTGCCGACCAATGGCTTCCGGGACATGAAAAAGCTGGTGTCCCTCCATCTCCAGAGCTCACGGATCAAGGAGATCTCAGCCGGAGCCTTCAGAGGGCTCAAGAACCTGGTCTACCTCTACCTCACCGACAACCAGATCAGTGTCATAAAGCCGGGAGCCTTTGATGACCTCTCTGAGCTCACCTACCTGTACCTGGACCAGAATAAGATCCCAGACTTATCCAAAGGGATCCTTTCCCCTCTTGTCAATCTCTTCATCCTGCACCTAGGCAGCAATAAAATCCGGGAGCTGAAAGCGGGGGTCTTCAGTGGCGCTAAAGACCTGCGCTGGCTCTTCCTCTCTGACAACTCCCTCACCAACCTCCTGCCCGGGGCCCTGGAGGACGTTGAAAATCTCGCTGTCCTCCACCTGGACAAGAACCAGCTGAGCAGCTATCCTGTGAGCGCCATGAGCAAGCTGAGAGTGCTGGAGGAGCTGAAGCTTTCCCACAACCCAATCGAGGTGATTCCAGACAACGCTTTCCAGTCCTTTGGGCGTTACATGCAGACTCTCCACCTGGACAACATGAAACTGAAAAAGGTCAGTCCTTTCTCTTTGCCTTTCCTCTGTGTATGAGGGCTCAATTCTCTTCTCCCTCGCAAAGCTGCCAATTCTTTGCCCCTCCTGCAGTTTGCAGAGAGGGGGGATCCAGGCCGGCGTGAAGAGAGGCACCTGCCAGCTGCAGGAAAACCACACGTAGCCCAAGCAAGGGATGAGAGCTGTGCTCCAGCCTGTTGGTGGGCTGCTTTATGCAAAGCCAAGTTCTCTGGGGCTGGTCAAGCTCTCTGGAAAGGCACTTCTCCAGAGCTGGAGGTCACACCAGTTGATGAGAAAGTATTTGGGGTGGTCCAGGACAGTCAGCAACCTTCCATCATCCCAGACACGAGGCATCTGCCCTGTACACAAGGGATCGAAGAGCTGAACTGCTCTGCCTCCTTTGTTCAGCTTGAGTGCCTGTTGCTGTCTGGAAGGGGGAGATTCCAAGGATCAAAAGCAGTTTTTCACTCATGCCTTGCAGACAGGCAGACATGTGAACCTTCACCTTCACCTCTCCACTGTGCCTTCAAACTTTACACATTATAAAGAAAGGTTTGTTTATTGATGCTCTCTCAAAAGCAAATCTTGCAGCATCTTACAAAGGGGGTCTGTTCCCGCCAGAGTGGAGAAGGAATATTCATACGTCCTGGAAAAACAACCTCCTTCTTTTCCTGTGAGAAAGCATCCATAGGCAGAAGCATCGTGCTCAGGGAATAACTCACATTAGGACCTCTGAAATGCCAGGTAGAAGCGCAAGAACACAAACTAGCACAGTGCAAGAAGAGCAGCACCCTATGGCAGCCTGACATCCAAGATGCACCTACATGGCTGGGAAGGGGGGCATCTGCAGGGAAGGACGGCTCTCCCTGGCACAACGCATTGCCAGGAATGCCATTATCTGCTGTAGGGAACTGCTTGGGCAGGGGGTTGGACGCGATGGTCTCTGGAGGTCCCTTCCAACCCCTACGATTCTGTGATTCTGTGAAGCCCAAAACCAAAGTGCATCCAGGTAAGGCAGGACAGCAAAGCAGAGCAACACCCACTGTGTGCAGGAAGACGTGAAGAAACATGGAATTTCTTAGTAACAAAAAGCAACTCAAATGGTATCACCTATCTGTACGACAACAAAGCTGTTAAAGCTACCAGAGCACACCAGAGTTTCCACAGGGAATAAAGAAAATTCAGAAGCTGGAGTCACAGCGTGCCCAGGTGCAGACTGACACTAGCCAAAGCAGTTTGACAGCACCCAGTCAGCATTTAATCCCTCGTCTACTCTCAGATCCAACGTCTCCAGGACGGGGGTAACTAAATGCAACACTTCAATCAATGTACTGACCTCTCTAGGGAAGCATTCAACACGTGGTCGCATCACTTCCACAGACTCAGGTTTTGGTTGCATGATTCCCATCACGCACAAATCTAAAGCTCCAATGTAGGTGTCATACCAGCTGTAGGCTCCAAGTCTTGTGCTGAGGAAATGTGATGCTGCAGAGAATTCAGTGTTCTTGATTTCAACAAAGGAGCATCTAGATACATGAAGTTTTAGTTTTCTAGCCTATGAGCCAAGTTCAGAGTTGTCTCTCCAAAAGCTCAGCATGCCCCATACTAAAGCAGCCCGCATGCACCTGGTCACAGAAGCCACACTTGGGCTGGGAAATCCCTACCAAATACTTTAAATGCTGCTGACATCTTAACAGCAGCTCTTCCTTCTCCGTAAAATCACTGTCCCTAGCTTTTTCTTGTATGTCTGCAAAGCTTTCAAGATGTTCAAGTGCAAAACTGTTCACATGAAGCTGTCACAGCCGAGATGGTGCCGAGTGGAACAAGGAGAGCCCTCAGGCTTCTTTGCACCACAGAATTCCTTTTCCACAACCACTTGCAAGCCATATTACATGGGCCAGGACACACTGCATGAATCAACAGAAAATAAGGTAGTGCAGAACCTGCAAGCTTTGCACACACCCTCTCTTCATTGGAAAAGAAATCACAGCAGTAATTCTCAATTTAAACACAAGGAAATTCACCAGTTTCTTCACAAAGGCGCGCTGTGGCAGGAAGCACAGCAGCTGTTCCCAGCAGATGCTGCCTCTACTCGTGGGCTGGGAGAGGAATGAGAGCTGAGACAGCCAGCGTTCCTCTGTCCAAACCAGAACACGGCCAGGGCAGTCAGGAACAGCGAGCAGCGTCCCTCTGAGCAATTCTGCTATCAGCACAGCACTGAGATCAGCTCACAGAGCCAGCACTGCGGCCGCCCAACAGCTACAGTACTCAGGGAGTTTCTTAGCGAAGCTCTAAATTTATCTGGTGTTGCTTAATTTGGAAGATTGCAGAAGTTCACAGCTTCAAATAGCGCATTTCCCTCTGTCAGCTCTCTCAGCTTGGAGCGCCTGGTCGCAGCCCAGCGGTCCCAGCAGCGTGACGGCGTGTGAGCTCTGCACAAAGGGAAGCCCTGGTGCTGACCCGCAGGGCCTCCTGGCAGACCTGCTGAATCTCTTTTCAGCAGTTTTGAGAAAATTTCCCCATTTTGAGGAAGGGGGAGGAATGGTTTGTCACAGCCACGAGAAGCTCTGTCAATTGCCCTGTCCCTAACGCAGCATCTCCCAGAAACTTTGTGTTGACAGGTTTGCTTTCAAAAAGAAACTTTCCAATCTGAGTAACTATTGGCTGAGAAAAAACGGAGATGAAGCCTGAAGGAAAAGATCGAGGAGGGCTGTGAAGCAGGGTCCACAGCCACGCAAAGCTTCAGCTCTCCCTGAAAGCCTGCCCGTCAATCAGGAACAGACAGGTCTCGCAGCACACCTTGCAAACAGCCCCTGGAAATGAGAAAAACCAGAGGAGGCTGAGGGGCTGGAAACCTGCCTCTATTTCTATAGCGCCCTGATCCAAGTGTAACTTTCCACCCGGAGCCGGCGGGCACTGCCAAAGCCCACAGGCCTTCCAGCCACAAACACTGCCTCCTTCAGCCGCCCCACGGCAGGGAAGGCAGCAGCCCTGGGCGGGTGTCCAGCCTGGGAAGGGATAATAAGAAAATAGCTTCATTAAGAACAGGGATGTGTGGCTCAAAACAGAAAGAGGGCCGCCCGCTTTGGCTTTATTTAGGAACGTAGCTTCAAACGGAGCCCCACGTGGAGCTGGGCTGCAGCTCTCCTCAGGCAGCAGACTGCCAGCAGGAGCCCTGCGTGCCGCCCGCAGCTCCCACCAGGGCTCCCCATTCCTCACACGCTCGTGGAACGCTCAAGCTTTGAACCCAGCACAGCATCTCCCCTTCCCTAACTGGTGTTGCTCAGCACAAACCTCTGTGTTCAGTTTGCAGACAACGCGTTCGCCGGCGTCACCGTTCTGAAGGCCGCACACCTGGAGAACAACCGGCTGACGCAGCTGCCCCGCAACTTCCCCTTCGACAAGATGGAGACCCTGACGCTCTCCAGGAACGCCTGGCACTGCAACTGCCAGCTGGCACATCTGCGCAAGTACGCAGCCACGCACGCCTTCCTTCCCCTCATTGCCTGCAGTCTCCTCGGGGCCCCCCGGCCCACGTGGGGCAGGAGGAGATGGCAGAAGGCAACACTCGGCCCGCCGGCTCCGTGCGCGGCCGCAGCTGAGCCTCCTGTAAGCTCCTGTGTTCTCCCCCCAGGTGGCTGAAAGCCAATCGCACCCGCACGGAGGACACGTGCTCCACGCCGGCGCAGTACCGGGGGCAGTCCATCAGGGACACCCCTGCCCTCCGCACCTGCAAGCTGCCCACCAAGAGGTCCAGGAAGGGAAGCCGCCATTAAGCACGTAAGAGGGTCGCAGAACCAATTCCTAGCGGTAGATTGTAGTCACTGCTTGCACAGACCTACAGCACGCCCCAGTGCACAGTGCCACAGGGCTGCTGGCTCAGATGTCATTAACGAGGAGGCTGAGCTGACATCCCATCAGAGCTGCTCGCCCTCGCTGGCCGTGCTGGACTCCACAGGCTCACGGAGCAGAGACGCTGCCCGGAGCAGTAGGGATGGAGTCAGCCCCTGAAACAAACACAGACCTAACGACAGGCCTGGGACAGCAAGGAAGGGTGAAACGTGTAATTCAGTGTCAAATCAAGGGCGGCTTTAGCCCACTGCCAGCCCGGGGTGGAATAACACAGACTTTACTTTTCTAATCGACTGGAGATGCTCCTCCTTGCATCCCAGTGAAGGCTCTCCCAGGTCTGGTTTGAAAACCAGGGCAAGACACAGCTGAGGAGTCTGGCCCCAGGCCACCCAGCCCATACCTTCCGTATGAAAATAGATGTCTTCCATAGGGAGCAGTTCCCAGACCAGCACCTGCCTTTCAATAACTGCCATTCCCATCCAAGACACTCAGGTATTTAGAAAAACAAGGGCTGGTGCCTCCAAATGAATGTCCCAGAACAGGAAGGATCTTTGCAAAAATATTCTTTGCATAAAGCGCTCTGGGCCAGAGGGTGACTCAGGAGACAGGGCCGGCTCTCCCTTGAGCAATGGGCTTACTGACATCTACCAATCCAAACACCAACTGTGAACAGCGTCACACAAACACCTCCAACAGCTGGGAACTACTGAGTGTTCTAAATTCAGAGCAAAGAGTAGCGAGGAAGCCACAGCTGTCCTCAGCTCAGCCCAAGAGTTTTGCTTTTCCTCATCCCAGGACTGGATCTGGAGCTTGTACGGGTTTGGATCAACCTGAAAATGTGTAAGCTTTTGGGAAAGGGACCTTTGTTTATTTGCTAAGTAAAGCACAGTGACCCTGCGATGCGCTGTGCCATTTGCTAAGGGAAAGGACTCCAAGTCCAAGGCCCACTTAGGCCATTTGGCCCCTGTTCCCTAAGGAGATGCATAACAGGATGGAGAAGATAAATTTATGCCTGAAGTGTCAGGGATTATGCCAGCAGCTCTGGGCCTTCCTAAAGTGATAATTTATCTTGCAGTGCCAGAGACGTTATGGATTAGAGATGGAAATACCAGTCATTCCATACAGGGTGGATAAAGTTCTGAGCAGAGACGGAAAAACTTTGGTTTCTAAACCACAATACTTAAATACTTCACCTTCTTCTCTCCCTGCCTGAACTCGGTTTCAGCTCACTCCTCTAGGAAAAGAGTAAGAAAACCATGACAATAATAGCTGGTTTTCCTTTTGCACCTTTGGCCCAGCTCACTCTCAAAAATTTATAAACGTTAATGAAATAAAAACCAATTTACCCCAGTCTTGCAGAAGACAAAGCTCAGTATCTTCAGGTGTAAGAGCCACAGTGCAAGCACACAAATCCGTTCCAGCGCAGTGACACAACTGTAGGGGATACAAAGCTCCCGAGTTCACTGCGCAGCTCTCGAGAGGTGGGCAGCTTTCCCAGATGGCAGCTCTCAGGCTTTCAGAGACACGGTGGCCTCTCACTGTCCAGAGCCACGTGTCAGATGAAAGGCTGTCTGGCAGTTCCTAAAAGTCTGCCTGCTCTGGAGCTCCACCGCTCTTCACCCCTCCAGCTGCTCTTCTCTCCCCGCCGCGGGTTTCTTCCCTTACAAAGGAAGCGCTCACCGGCCACGAACACTTCAGGTAAAACTGGAGACACACAGCAAGTTGGCATCAGAGGCTGCAGATGCGACTGATGCATCTCCTCCATCGTGGGAACTGGTGGTGGCTTCTTGAGTTCTAGTTCTTCTATTTCAATTGTAGGCTTCACTCACACACGGTGTAAAAAAAAAACCAACAAAAAACAAATGCACAAAAGCTCCAAGTTTAATGATGAACTTAAAGATGCCCCTAAAGGTGGGATTTTCCTTTCTTCTTCCCAGCAGGACCCGGTACGGCCTGTCCTGGTGACCGGTCACCCCAATCATCAGAAAACTACTGACCTCCGAGTCCTCCCTTAAGCTTCTCCTATCTGTCAGGAAACATAGCTGATATATCTGAGCACCTCCAGCCTCCTCCAAATCCCCGCTTCTCTGCTGATTGCAGGATGGAATCCACCTTTTCGCTCTTTTCCAACATCTATATACTTTAAAAGAGGCATTTTAAAAAATAAACGATGCATGACCATACTGAGAGCTAACCTAGATCCTGCCGGTAAAGCACAGTCATCTTTCCCAGAGGCGACGGAACCCACGTCCCAGATCAAGCAGTTTGCCTCTGTCCCTCCCCTTCCAATAGAGCGGAAGCAGTAGGAAGGCAGAAGCGTTCTTCCCCAGCTGCTTGACCAGGAGGATTGGTCTCAACCCGTGCGGTCCTCTTTCTTCCCCCGGAGGGGATCCCTGCAGGCCAGGGCCGAGGAGGGCAGGCGCAGCAGTGCCCAGGAACCGGCGGCCCTGAGGCAGAGCTGCCCTTGGCTCCCACAGGCAGCGACTTCCCTAAGCCAGACAGAAATCCTTGAGTGAAGCGGTGCTGGGAAAGCCCGGAGCTGAAGCGAGCTGAAGACTGGATTCCCTCCCACTCTGAGGGTCTACCAAGATGTACGCATGCCCAGGAGGAGGAGGCGTGCAGCACGCTGCCCTGCTCAGCACCCCTCCTCACCCTGCTCACAGGATCCAGCAGGACACCAGGATGACTGTGGTTTATTGTCATGGCTGTTACAATGCCACGGTTGCAACTTAACTGTGTTTTTTAATCCTAAAGAGTTATATAAATGTATGTAAAAAAATATTTATTCCTCTGTAACTGAGTGTAAATGACCCTCAAGAGGATGAAAACTCCTCTGTCTCCTATATAGAAATCAAATTGTATATTTTCTTATGTACATCTTCTGTATAAAGCTCTCGCTGCAAAGATGAACTCAACAAGTCTCCTGGTGTCTGTCCGAGGGCTGGGGATGGGAGATAACATGAGATTGGTGGTACAAACATAGACTTAATCCTCTTTATCCTATGGGCAGGATGCCTGCTTGTGAGGGGAGGGGCTTATCATCCCTTTTTCTACAAAGCAGGAATGCATATAACGAGTCCCAGGCAGCTGTGGTCATGTCTGGAAATATTCCGTAAAGTTAAACTCAGGCCCACTATAAAAATAGGCATCTGTCACCTACTGGAGTCCAGGGAATGGCATCAAGGCTGCCTGTGGTGTTCATGAAGGACTTCGTATCCAGGAAAAAGCTCTGGCCGCTTCTCAGACGGCTCAGGACAGATGCCCTGGACTCTCCCAGTCCTTTCCAGAGCATGCAGTCATCCCTATAAATGTCCCAGTCCTGGCAAGGTCTGGGTCTGCCAATAATAACAGCCTAACCTGACTCATGTGCTCATCCATCACCACAGTGCACTTCCTCAGCGTTTGCAAGCAATGCGGCACCGAGGTGAAATTTGTTTCTGTTAAAGTAAAACAAAAAGGCTCTTTTTTGGCTCATTCCCTCGCAGGCATAAAACCGCTCCGATGCAATGCTGCACAGTACCTGAGAAAGAGTGAAATCGGACTCAAACACAAAGCGGGGGCACGGGCGACACAGCGCACGCCTTCAGACCCACCAGTGAAATGTCCCAGGCCCCAGCGCCCCACGGGCCGATGGCCCCCACAGGGGGGTGCGTGGAAATGCGACGGCGCAGAAGAACAGGTGCTGCAGCACAGGCTGTGGTTCTGACAGAGCAACGCTTGGTGCCACGCACGGACTGAACCGCTCACGTTCAGACTCTCAGGCACACAGCACGCATGGGATTTTGTATCTGCGTGCCATCCAGGGCGGAGGAAGAAACCTCCCAGCAGAGCGAGCAATGCAACCCCCACGCCCAAACGAACCACAAACTGCTCTCCCAAAGTCATTCGTCCTTGCAGCACGTGCAGAGACGGAAGGGTTTACAAAATCTGAAACACGCAAACAGAAGTTTGGCCTCTGGTACTCCATGAAGTGTCTCCCACCAGGCTGCCTCCCCAGGCGCCCCAGAGGACAGCAGGCACAATTCCCCCCTCCCTCCCAGCCCCACTGCAGCCTCTCCGCAGCCCGGCCTCACACCACGTTCCACCACCTGACCACAGCAGCTCTGGCACAGTGCTGCCCAGAGGTGCCCCATCTCTTGTTTTGGCCACAACAAAGAGCTCTTGCAGCTTTTGCACAGCAGCCACAACTCACCACAATCTCTGGCATGTGCATCTTTGTTGAAATCATCTTCATGATCTCAGGGGGAACAGGGGAACCTGCAATGATTCCTGCAAGAGAAAGGAGAAGATGGCTGTCTCAGAAACTGCGTGTTTATTCATAGCAGCAGTCCCTCAGAAGGTTCTGCACACTCAGACTGAAATGCTGGCGAGACCTTTGGGATACACTGGTTCCTGTCAAAATACTTTCTATTTGTACGGATACAGAAGCAAAGGCTGCAGCAAAACCAGTTTGCCTGAATGAATTAAGGGTTGGCAGAGTTCACTTGTTAGGAAAATAAACTCTGTAGCACATTCTTAGTCCAAGCTATGGTTCCAGAAAAGGAAAGACTGAGAGCAGAAAGAGGCACAGATTTTGCAGAGCAAACACGCCCATAGCTCACCACCACCAGAAAAACAAGAACCTTTCCTCCTGCTATGGACCACCTCTCCGGGGAGGACAGCTCACATCCCCACCTGCTCAGATGTGCCCTAGGATGGATGACAGCGAGAAAGCAAAGTAATGCGTGGGCTTTGCTGCACGACGAGACAGGGATCATTTTGCACATAACAGAGCTGATAAATCTGCTTAGGTGTTTCCTTATGCCCCAGCACCATCTCCTCTCTGCTGCCATTGCCTCAGAAGGGCAGATGGCCTCCTTCCTTCAGCTGTTGTGCTGAGGCCGTCTGAGATAAGAGAGAATCCTCCAGCACGTGTTAGATGTTG